AACGAAAACTATTTTACCAGGTAAAAGCCCACTGAGCTATATGGCTCTTATTCAGAAGCCACAAATGATAGTTAAACGAAGCGGCTTATCATCATGTGGACATTTATAGCAGCCAATATTACACTACTCTAAACGCATGATGCTGATTCTAAATGTGGACCCGGAGAAGATAAAAATCCACGCGACCACGTGGAGAACATGCACACTTCCAAATATACAGCAGCAGGTCTCTGGGTCGGGATCGGAATCGAACCTCCCACTACCTCCTGTATACCTGGCGAGGGTAGTTTAACATCTCTCCGCCGTGGCACATACGAGGTGATCTCCATGGTGGCCCTCCAGTCGGGCGTGTTTCACTCCTTGGGCTGCCACTCCGTTCTTAGTCTCAATCCCAACGCGGCCACAATTACATTCCAGCGACTGTGTGTTGCTTTAACAAGCCTCCTTACATTTCTGCACGGGCAATGCAGGCAGAGAGAGTAGCCCCAGTAAACGTCAAACGTTCGATCAACGCTGCGTCGCGGTGAGTGTTTTTGGCCACACGTGGTGGAACAATGTTGGTTCAAGCGTTCCTTGTTGACTGGGACGATGTCTCTCCTCTAACTTGGGTTGTTGACATTTCGTCTACGCGATCGAGTACAGTGCAATTAAGTAGTTCAGCAAATGTCTATGGAAGATACATATTTACAGTCATTACAAAGCCACGTGTAGTATTGTACTCGTCAACGTAGTGAAAAAGTTTTGTATTATGTCGAAAAAAAAGCATTTTGCACGGAAATTAATAGATTAAACAAATCTAGATTAACCTATGCGTCACGTGTTGCATCCAGTAAGTTATAATCGGGACAAAGTACAAACACGCAAATCACAGCACGCGACGCTAATAGCAGAGAAACAATTCCGTTTTTTGAAATACATTAAGGTAGTCAAGTTATGTTTGAACAGAAACACAACTTTCGTTCAAGTAAGTTATAGCTCCTTATTGATGGTAACTGGTCCGCCTTTTCCACTGGCCACATCCAAGCCGAGCCAAGCACTGGGGCTCACAATCTCCCACTGGCTTTTCGTTGTGCTGAGTCGGAACGAACCCGTGGCACGCTGGCCTCTGGAGATTGCGCCACGGTGGCTAGGAGATGCTAACTAGCTCGTCTGGTATACAGGAGGTCGTGGGTTCCATCTCGACCCTGACGACGCCTGCTGTATATTTGGAGTTTGCGCGTCTCTCTCCCCGTGGTCGCGCGGATTTCTTTTCTCCTGGTCCTCCAATCTTTACATCCACATTTAGAAGCGACATGCGTTTTAGAGTATTTCGCTGCTATAAATGTACACGTGATAAGCCACTTTGTTGAGCTATCATTTGTGATATCCAGGTCGCTTCTGAAAAGAGAGCTATATAGCTGAGTGGGGGCCTTACTTAGTTAAATAAAACAAGTTTTAGGGAAAAAATGTTTTGCAGAATCTCGATCAGCTCAGGGCCAAGCGAGGCCAGGGGCAGGGCTAATGACATGTTCATTGCATATGACAAGGAGTCAGGACTGTGAGGAGACAGCGTCACCAAGTCCTCTACGGGCATCTCGACTCGATCATTGCGGCAAGCAGGATGGCTCGGCTTCTGCAGTGGAAATAAAAATTAACCCGTAAAAACAAAGTTTTTCACTATAAATCCTTTATATGCGTGGCGGCTAGAGTCCTCTCGTCCTCTGGCTTGAGATGGCTGCCACCTATGGGTCAGATGATTGTCTGCCAGCATTAAGCAATTGGTAATTAAATATTTAAAAAAAAATTCCTAAAAAGTGTAAAATTTTGGGAAAAAAAATTCACGAAAATTAATTGTCACGCACAACGAGTCTGTGTGGAAAATGTCAGCTCGATTGGATCACGGGAAGTGGGTTAAAAAACGACCGAAAGATTTGCACGGTCTTAAGCAAGCAAGCAAGCACGCAAGCACGCAAGCAAGCAAGCGAACTTAATATAAAGGATTTAAAAACAGCCTGGCGCCTCCTGAACCGCGGCCAGGCGAGCTCGGCAACGGCCCCGGTGCATCTTTGATTGTGCCAGTGGAAAAAAAGATGTGAAATTGACGGGTAAAGCACGCTGACATTTGTTCGCACTCATTTACACACAAAGTGCTCGTGACAAATCAACCACAATACCTTGCTGATCTCGTCAAGGAGCATAAACCATCACTTGAACTCCGGTCATCCTCGCAGTGGCATTTGGTTGCTGGCCAAAGACGGTCACTGCATCGTGTGCTTTCTGATACACTTCTGTGGCCGTCTGGAATGCTCGTCCTTCCAATATTAGGAAGCCACTGAAGCTATTCACTTCTTAGTCTAGATTGAACATTCATTTCTCTAGAACTGCTTTTTGTGTTTGGTTTATTGTCCTTCCCCTGCACATCCAATCAGTACTGTTGGCAATGTACGGTGCAAAAGAAGTTCAACACACATACATTTGCTTTTGTAGATAAACGTGCCTTGCTTTCACTTACATCAAACAGCCTGCACCTGGGTGTCGACAACTCCATGGCAATGAAGAAGCTTCAACATATATGTACATAAAGAACAAAAATGTGCGGACAAATACACACTTGGGTGTTTGCACCACACCAGAGTTCTAAGTGCATATTTCAGAACTTTCGGGAAAACATTTGGCCGGGGTTTTAAAGGCTCCTCACACGCCAGGTTGTGGACAAAGGAGATCGGTGAAGGGTGGCGGCCTTGTGTGAGAGCAGTCACAAAGCCACTGCTGGCCACACCTGGTGTAAAGAGTTAAATAAATAAGGCACGTGAATACCTGTGGTGGATCACTCCACTGGCTTTAAATGGAGCCTGGGACAAGCCCTCGTGGCTTACCTAGCAGCATCCATGGAATGTTGACAGGACTCGCAGCCCTTTAATTAGCCAGCGGTCTAACAAAAAAATCAGCGGCCGTGCCAAACATATTTGGCGGCGTGGGCCACGGTGGGGGCGTGGGTGTTAGGAGAGGGGCGACTGCCGTAAAGTTGCATCTTCGTGTAACAGCAATGCATCAAATAGCATGCTGGCCACGTGTTGTTTTCTGAGCTCGTTGAGAAGCATATATCTGCCCTTCCCTATTTCTGGCAGATCCATGCGCGGCCGGATTAATTCAGGGGCTTTACAGGCTGCAACCTGAGGCCTCAGATATTGAGGTGCCTCAAAAAAATATGTAGGGTGTCATAATTAGAGCCATAGCATCACTTTGTGTATCACTAGCAGCTATGTGTCAAATTGAAATGCTTCATTTTAACTTTGATAGCTTTCCAATTCGCATATCAGATTTAAAAACCATGAACTGAATTAACTGCTGTAAATAACAGTGGAGTGCTTGGCATCGGGCACGAGTGATGGTAAAACAGTACAGGCAAGGAATTGAATATATATGAAGAGGGCCCTCCCCCAAACTATAAGATCCCTGGGCCACCATCAAACATAATCCATCCCGAGGTGCATCAAGAGGTGCAAGGCTGCACAATACAAACTTGATTTTGTGTTTCTATGAATATTTGTGTTCTGTGACTGTAACGGGGTCACGTCGAGCTCTTTAGACGATGCACACTGGTCAAGGAGTAGTCGGCATTTAAAGTTTCAAAACTGTCCCCCCCCACCTCTCCTCGCAATTCAATAAATGTTTGTTCATGATTTTGGATCACGTTTTGATTCAAGGACAAATTATGTGCTTCGTTTGTACTATATTGGTTTTTATTTGTTTCATTTTCTTCTCTGTCATCCTGTCCTGTTCTGTTAGCCAAATGTCATATTCGTTTAATCATTCTCATATGATTGGCCTAACTGTAAATGATGAGTTATCACACATACGATTCGATGCATGAATCGTGAGTGTAATAATTTATTTAAATTGGAGAATCGCTGAAATTGTTACATGCCTAGTAACGGCAAAATCACGTACGACTTATGTAAGTAAGCCTACATAACCAGTGGGTTTCCTGTGCTGATATGAGTGTTCGCCAGATCTCATCTCTACAGTGCTGGCCGTCCTGAGTCAGTGTTGGCAATTCCACATTTGCATGGCATGGGTCAGCATCTCTACATGACAAACTACCACCGTTGGTGCTCCTGTGCAAGCGCTACTCTCTGTCACGAAAACGCCGCGCTGTCTTTCTACGACAATTCAGAGCGGATTCCTTCATCTCGTGGGACGATGCTGATGGCACAATTGGGACACAATTAGGGAAAAGGGATACGAAATTAAATTTTAAAAAAGTTTTTAAGTGTAAACCGAATGAGAAACGTGGATAGCTTGAGCGACGGCCACCCCACGCTGCAGCAGAGGAGAATGAGCAACGGGGGCAGGAAAACATTAATACCACGGCTTTTTATCTGCGACCCTTCCAGCACTTCCATAACATTATCAGCAGACTCCTTACCATTCCGAAAATGTATATGGTCGGTTACGAATATATTTGCAATCAATTTAACCATGAACTAAATATAATACAACTTTTCCGATCATTTTTAAATATATATTATTGACACGTACACAACTGCGTTTTACTCTGTGGTAACTTTGACATTTGATGTCTTCATGCCCTATTTAAAATGTGTTATTTCCCATTAAAAAAAGGAATGCATGGCCTATTGCAGAACCGCAGACCCTCCGTTTGCACAACGACCATACGGCATAAAGCGCGAGATCGCGTGCATAGCGTTATCTGATGTCGAGTGCATATTCTTGCGCTAAGGAAAGAATCTTTTGCAAAGACCTCTTGAAAAGGCCGCACGGTTCATGCTTACAATTTAAAGCATAGCCACAACTTTATCAACAATCAAAGATATGGGGATGATGTTTTGTACCCCCCCACGCCTATGACTTGATTTTAAGTTGTTTTTGTACTTTCCCATTTTTTCCCCCAGGTCGCCATTGAGAAAGAGACTGCATTCTCAACGGGTTCATCTGCTTTTCAAATAAAGAACAATTTACAAATTGCAGGTGGAACATTGGCGTGCAGCGGTTTTGGCGCAGCGGTTTTGGCGCAGCGTGATATGAAGCCCGGCAACCCGAGTTCGACACCTGGCCACGCTAACATCGTTTGGTGAGTGGCATCTGAATGGGTCTTGGGCTTGAACCCCTTCAAACAACCTGATGACTGACACAGCGTGGGAAGGCCTTCGTCCAGCAGTGGATTATTAACAAAAGGCCCTCGTAAATTGTTACGCATCCGGTAATTATTACAAATAATATCCGACAAAGCAACCGCCGCTATTGTTTTTGTCGTCAGCGTTAAACGAAAACCCGATTGGCCAAAAGCATAAAAATTTGCTTTCGTTAATTTAAAATGGTGGGTCGAGAAACCACACGCGCATTGATGCACGGTGCGTTTACAATGAACCGCCAACAATGTGCGTTATATTCCAATCGAGCTTGAGCGGGAGTGTATTTATTTTAAGACGGCATCAAACCAGGTGTCTGCGCCACACCGACCCGTCACGCATGTTGTCGATGACGTACTTTTTTCCAATCGGGGTAAGAAAGTGGTAGTCTGCTCAGCTTGAATTTTCCGATTGTACCAGGGTAGGACCCGCAGAGAAGCGGAGAGAGGGTGTTTGAGACTTTCCAATTACTCCGTTTAGGTCTATTTCGAATGGGTCCTTCAAAGTACCACGGTAGGACCCGCAAGGAAGCAGAGAGAGGGTGTTTTAGACTTTCCAATTACTCCGTTTAGGTCTATTTGGAATGGGTCCTTCAAAATGTGCATCATAGCTTTGACCTGTTGATACAAACTTGCAACTCTGCATGCTGCCCCAACACGTACTGCACGGGGAGGCGTGGTGTAAGTAACATATGAACATGATCGTAATGGACACGACACGGTTTTGAGTGCGTGCACAAATAGCAAAACGTTGCCTAAAAATGATGGACAACTGTGACGGAGTGACTGATGGAAATTCTAACGTTATTCTCCCGGGGCTATATAGTTGACATTTGGTCAACAATATAGTCTTTAATTACAACTAGATAAAATCCAAAAAACTGGTTTTCCTTAGCCTGTAATAATAGTTCTGCATTGCTGCTCAAAGTCTCATGGTAAACAAGTAGAAACTATACTTTCCCCATCATCGGCAAACCGATAAAATTGCCTCTCGTGGAACGTGACGCTACAGTCAATGGAAACTGGGCAAAGCTTGCTACCAATTATCGTGTGTGAGATGCCATTTAATCAGACAAAACTGTTTATCAGTAAGAACACCACGCTTCAGAGTAGAGTTGTTAAAGGAGCTGGTGCAACGTGTAATGGATGACGTGTTGTCTTTAATCCAGAGCCTCTATTGAACTCGGACGCCTTCCCCCAGACTCCAGAACTCTCTCCCCACGAGATATCGGGATCTCTGAATCTGCGAACGTTTGGTTAATTATTTTTTCCATTTTCTTAGCTGTTAGTGATGTGTCTTATGATGAAAAGACGCTTCATAAATAAAATTAGAATTATTATCTTCTTTCTCAGCTGAAATTTCGATTTAAAGCTTTCGTGACTGCAGGGATTCATCTTCTTGGTTCTTTCGGTAAAGTCACGTAGAAGGGAAATAATGAACTAATAAAAATAAACATAATAAACGTCGTGAGAATTATTTTATTATGTTTTATTTTTATTAGTTTATTATTTCCATTCTACGTGACTTTACCGAAAGAACCAAGAAGACTTTCTCAGCTTCTCGTGTATATCTACGTGATGGGAGGTTATGCTACAATGTCTGCTCCTCGTAACGTCCACTGTCCAGTCGGCTGCATTTCCCTGGTCCATTCGATGGAGAAGTTTCTGGGCAGCTGCGGAAATTGTGCTCACTCCCTTGGTGGCAAATGAACTGACCACGAAGCTACCCGGCTGTGTGCACTGTATAAAAGGCATGCGAAAATATTACTATGCGTCACATTTATTTCATTTCTTTATTTTGTTACACTTTGATCTCTTGCGGAATCATCGTAAATCGTTAACCTGTGTCGTAACTATGTCTGGAGATACCGATGCGACGTGATGCGAAGCAAAACTTAGTTTTATGACACCCTGTAAAAAAATATATCGAAGATTGAATTCAATGTGGCTTCCAACTCAAACGAGTTGCTCATCTCCTCCTTGCAGTCCTTCACAAGTGGTGTAAATTACACAGTCCTATGCCAGAGAAAATTCTATCCGTAGAGCTGCCAGAGTAAGAATGATATTATACGATGATTAAAATCGATAATAGGCCGGGGGGGGGGGGGGGCACATTGTCGACACACTTTGCTATTCACCACGCCGCTTGAGTTTGATTCACAAGCCTCTGCTGACATCAGTGGAGACTGGTATTTGAAACCGGTCCTGGCCACCTCCTTCACCAACCCGCACTGAGCGGTGTGGTGAAGTATGGTCAAATGAACACAATGTTTGATATGCAACGTGTCACAGTTCACGGTTCGAATCCAGCGGTCGCCCTGATTAATACTGCGGGTGTATTAACCATAAAAACACATGCTGTCTGCTTCGCAAGAATAGGCTTTGTGCTCTGGTGTCATTGGCAAAATTTGCTAAATTTAAGGAAATTACACCACAATTTTTTCACTACATTTTAAATATACATAGCAAACATTCCCCCATGCTGTAAAACTTGGTAGAACCCTCCTCAATGAGGGTCATGAGACTCAGTGAGGCTTTCCTGTGTTAACAAGCATAACAGTAAAAATAATAGTGGTAACGTAAATGCTATATTTTAGATTTTTCTTGTAACTATAATACAGGATATGTATTCTCTACTCTCAGGCAGTTGACCATTATAATTGCGATGCGTCACATAATTTGTGGGAAATAACAGTTTTTATGTAATTCTAGTCATATGAAAATTATTCTATTTTCAGAGCAGAGGCAATTCCTCTTCTAAGCAACGGAGTCCAGCACGTGTATGACACAAACACATCTTTACACACACGCACACGTATGTATGTATCTTGAACTTTTGCACCGTACGTAGCTAACCATGCTAATTGGAGGTGTGTGGAGTGACACCAAACTAAACATGAAAAGCAGCTCTAAAGAAATGAATTTTCAATCTAGATTTAAAAGTGCATATAGCGCCATGATTAGATATGGCAAGAGGACAAAAACACGTCACATCTTGTGGCTCCACCAAACTGCGCAACAAATGGCACATGTCTCAAATTTCTTTTCGTTAGCCATAAAAACTTAAGTACTGAATAAAGAATAAAAATCGCGAGGTACAAAAATATCAATCCAAAACATGTACCCCACACCCTGTAATTTCTGTAAGACAAAAAAAATATTCTGATATTGTGTTGGCAGAGGTGCACGAGCGATACACCGGCACAAATAATCAAAACCCAACACATTTATCAGCAACACTGTCCTAAAGAGTTAAATATATTATTCAATGGGTCGTCTTCATTGCAGAGAGATCTTCAGAGCATTGCCTGAAATGTAACCTACTATATATTACTTTTAGGACAGTGTTATTAATGAATGTGTTAAGTTTTCATCATTGGTGTAAGAGTTTTGTTAAAAGTCCATGTATGCTCAGCAGCTTTGCATAAACTTAGAGCACGCGCACTGAAGATTTTATTTTCAAATGTGGCAAAATAATTGGCGAAGCTTGAGTTTCTGTTTGCACTTTGACAAACCCACTATTAGATTTTTCACTTCAAACTAATTTCAAACTTTTGCATCGCTTTCTGCCCTTATCACCCTAGCACAAACGTGTTTGCAAGTTGTGCATTGCTTTGTTTTCAAACATAACGCCCATTTCTAACGGCCTGTGCATTTGCACGAACGCATTGCAATTGACGAATGCTAAATTAATAATTTCCGGTGCAGGACAAAACCGCACGATACAGTACATTTCCCCTTGACAACGTGGGGTCTCTGCTTAGTCAGAATACGGAGTGATACTTCCTGCCGCCACCACCGCCACACAGAAAGGCCACTCTCCGCCAAATAATGGCCGAGCTCCAGGCCGGGGCCACAGAGTGTGCCGCGCTGAGTGCTCGGCAGCAGCAACCGAGATTTGACGACGCGTGGTCTCCGATCCCCAAAAAATTAAAAAGAAAGAGTGATTTCTTTGGGATAAGTGAGAGGTTGTGTGTGAGAATTTTGGAATGGGTTTCGCCCATTCAGCCGGCAGCATGCTGATTCACAGTAAAGGCTGAGTCACATCTGTGCAGATGACACATCGAATTCCGACAAATAACACTGGCCATGTCAAAATATGATCACCCCCCACCCCACCATTAGACCACTCACCACGCTGGGAAATTTGTCACTAGAACTCATGAATGCATCAGAATTGAACCTACTGTAGTTTGAATTGTTGAAATGTATTTAATATAATGCAGGGCTTACCCATTCTGTAGTCTGATATGGTACCAAAATATTAATGTCAAATCATCAATTGGGGTTATTTAATGGTAAGAATTCTCTGAATTATTTCCTTTAAACGTTGTTGTTTTGTTATTATTACCATGGACATTAACATCGGTTTACTTTTCTTAGAATGACCTTGTTGCCACCCCGTGGCGTATTGTGGTCAGCATGGCCCTGGTGGGAGGAATGAAAAGGGGCCTCCAGTCCAGTTCCCCCCCCCCCCCCGCTACATATCCCATCGCCTTGGACTGCCTCCTGCAGGTGGGCCCTGGCGCAGTTGCACCGCCTGCACGCTCGACAGCTACACCCATTGTTGCCGACAGCTCTACAAGTGTGGACGTTTCACATATCTGTCGCAGTGCATTGCCACAGTGCGAATTGCCCGCAGATCTCTGTGGTTCACTACGCACTCTCCTTATCGACCCGGCGTTTGTGTGTGTGTCCCATTGCTCTTTTCCATCCGGCGACTTGCAGAATTCATCGTTACCATTCTGCTGCTGGCACCTTATCCCATCATCGCTCTCCAAGAGTTTCCATCACTGAACACGCCGGGGGGGGGGGGGGGGAGATTTGGTCTGTTTTGGGTTTTGTTTCTGCCCTTATATGGATCGGATGGCGTGAATGGGAGTGTGGAAAACATTGAGTCTTTTTTTTCTTGGCCGTTTGGTGAGGTGGCAAGGCTCGATGAGATAGCAGCATTCGCATGTTTTTTTTCGCCTTAATTTTTTATTTCCAGCAAACCCCCCCTCGGCACCCCCTTTGTGGTGCCGTTTCGTGCCTCGGCAAGCAGTTTCCAGTCACCAGCCTCGGCCCCCGCTTTCCCGACAGACGCGAATAGGACCCCGTGACGTTGGACTGATCGCTGGCGAGGTCCAGCTTCTTGCTCGTCTCTTCGTTTATTTCACGATCCTCGCATCCTCAGACAAGAGCCCCCCCCCCCCTCCTCCGCCTCTCATATTTGTCTCGTTGTTTATTTATTTTTTCATCATATAAATATAAGTTTCACTTTGAATTCAGACATTTGAATTCAGACATTTGGGGTTTACGATCGACTCCCACTGGAGCGAAAGAAGGGATCTTGGTGGCCATCTTAAGGTACATTTGTAAGTGTGTGTATATATATGTGTGTATATATGTGTGTATGTGTGGGGAGCAGTAGTGTAGTGGTTGGCGCACTGCGCTACGAACCCGGCGACCCGAGTTTGATTCCCGCTCACGGCCAACACCAGTGACGATTATCAGAATTCGGTTCTGGGCCTCCCCCTAGGTCGACTGAGCCTCAAATTAGTTCCTGGTATGGTGTGTAAACATCGCCACTAGGGAGACAAAGGCGGTCGGACGTGGTGCTGGCCACCCACCCCCTCGTGTGCCGTGCCGGCCTTCATAGGTGCTCGCTAACAGCACTTGCCCCTACAGTCTGTTAAGGCTATACGGGGGATCTTTGTGTATGTGCACGCGTGGCCTTGTAAGTTATGTATTTCCTGGTAAACGCTTACTTAATAACTTCAAATTCACTTTTGGTGCAGTATTGACAACGCTACAGTGCTGTTCAATGTGTATGGCATTATAGGGCCTTCGATAATAATTTCTTGAAATATTGTAATTCACATTTTATTCTTATTATCGCATAGATTTTAGCACAGTTTACCTACTAAAACCCTTTAACCATGTCTACAGTAGTTTTAATCACTGGTCATAGCTGATTGAATATGAAACAGAACTATACCCTTTTTAGCATATATTTTGCGGTATCACAAAGCAGCAGCAGTTATATTTATTACTATTATAAACATATATGTAACATTGCCTCTTTAAAATGTTGTTCTTTCGTCCACTTATTGCGAGGTACTTATATAATATACAAAATCGATTTGTCGCTATTTTTCTTTTCTTGTTACAAACTTTGTTCAAATGAGCAATCACAAACATTTACTTAAAACCGCCCATTTGGCTGATCAATTATTTTACTTTAACTTGCCTGCGAATTTGACGCAATTAATGTTACCGTATTATCTAAAGATAATTATTAAATTAACAAAAAATTACCACTTTCCCCAAGCCTAAACGGGCATTGGCGAGTCCTCATTTCCATCGGCAGGTCCTAATCCAGCTGTGGGTAACTCCACATCCCTGTGGTGTGAATCAGCCTCTCCATAAGAACAACAAAATGACAACTTCCCATCAAATATTGTTCACCTTAACGGTATATATTTTATTGGCCCCAAAAGCGATGATGGGCTGTGTCTACCGCGGCGAAGAATTATAGCTCACAATATCGCACGCGAGCGCTCTGCCTTTCTACCAACTGCACTCTATGCCGCTCAATAATAACCAACTAATTCAACGAATTCTCACCAGCCCCCACTGCCCAGTGCGGTGAAATATGGTCAAACAAGGCTCAAGGTGGACGTAAAAGTAACTTAACAAAAGGCATGTAAAATATTCGATGATTTTAAGAGTTAATTGAATACAATGTTAATCAATGCCAATGCATTATAGGCAATAGCATTTTACCATGGTTGTATTGTTCACAGTGAAAGGTAGTTTTCTATTTGTGTGCTTAAGGCCATGATACACTTGGGCACGTTTAGAACAACTGGTCAGCAACAGTCACCACATTATTGCCGAAACTAGTTTTCCATTGGCTCAACTGCACTCTGTCTCTCTACACCACTGCTCTGTCAGGTTTGCAACAGTTGCTCAAACTTAAAGTGTTTCCCGCGACCGTTACAGCAACGATTGCCCAAAAATTGCGCCTCAGTCATGGCCAGGGCTGGATTAACAGAGGGACTGCACAGCCCAGGCCTCGGATTTTGAGGCGCTGCAAGCAATGTTAAGGGGCTTTGTAAAGGTTGATACACAATCCTGCAGCGCTACAATAATTATATTTGTTAATCTGGGAAGGAAAGCCAAAGCATCACTGTACACATTAACACCAGTTATGTACAGAAATAGAATTTTGTACGTAGATTTAGTTTTACAATTGTATATCACATTACAAATATAAAAAGACCTGAAATAAGCAAGGAAAATAGCAATGGAGTGTTTGGCATTGGGCATGAGTGGTCGCCAAAGGGCAAACAAGGAACTTAAAATACAAATAGGGAACGCAACACTACAACAGCCTCGTACTCAAACCCATTCTCTGTTAATACACGTAAAAATAAACATGTTGTTGGTTCTTTCGGTAAAGTCACGTAGAAGGGAAATAATAAAATAATACAAATAAAACTATTAAATTCTCACGACGTTTCAATTGCAACGCAAGCAATCATCATCAGCTGTAAAAAAAATGTAATTGTTTTTTATTATTTCCCTTCTACGTGACTTTACCGAAAGAACCAAGAATATGAATCCCTGCAGTCACGAAAGCTTTAAATCGAAATATAAACATGTTTTGTGTCATCAGCCTATTGGCTTTCCAGCCCGATATTATCAAGCAGCCTTTTTTTAAACGTGCAAATTATGGACTGGTTTTGACCTTCTGGGTCTCATCAGCAGAGTGAGACGTGCTAAACAAATGCTGCCATAGTCGCCCACCAAACTTAATCGAGCCCTGAAAATGAGATTTCCCACTGAAATAAGCATTGCTCTTCTCCTGTTCACAGCCCTTGGAGCCAATGGCGGAAATTCCATTTTCACGTGGTTGGGGCGAGTCTCTAATACAGTCACTGTTGGCTTCCCCACAAAATAGTTCTCGTTTTATCGACCGTGCACGGATGCTGAGCTGAGTCAATCCTATTGTGAAACACTTGCTGTACCGCGAGTCGTTCATTCGGTGTTTGTGTGTGTTGGGGAGGACTAGGCCCGACTTGCTGAGCCGGCACCGCAATGATGGCTTGCGGCGCGAGCCGAGGCCACGGAATGGGAGGAGGAGGAGGAGGAGGAGAAGGAGGGTGGCAGGGCATGGGGCTGATGGCGGTGCCGTTCCCCGAGCACGCACGCGACGTGCTGGCCTCACTAGACGAGCTCCGCCGGGCCGCCCGGCTCTGCGACACGCAGGTGAACGTATCGGGGCAGCTCTTCCCAGCTCACCGTGCCGTCCTGGCCGCGAGCAGTGGCTACTTCCGCAAGTAAGCGAGCGAGGGAGCGAGCGAGCGCCTGAGCCGCCTCCGACGCGTCGGCACGAACCCGGCGCGAACAGAAGAGGACTTTTGGATATTAGGGCAAAAGTAGTGGCCGGGTGGCTTAAGGCTCGCGGCTAAGGTTGCTGCGTCTGATATAGAAACACTGGGATGGTATGTGGGGAGATAAGTATCTTGCCATCCCCGTAATGGGGAGAACTACAAGTAAAAGCATTGTCTTGAGCAGTGTATTATTACGCAACTGTCAAAAACCAGATGTAAGTAAATTGTTCGGCGATGTGTTGGCAGTGGTGTACAACCATATATGACTAAACACTAATAAAAACAGAACACTTTCGTTCATAACACTGGCTTTAAAAGAAAAATATAATAGGTGTCGTTTCGAATGACCCTTCTTAGCATATACAATTTTCTATTTTATATCTTTTTTTATTTTAACACCACAGAGTTTTTGACGAATGTGTTTGTCTTTTTTTACCAAAAAAAACTGGATTATTTTAATGTCCCAGGAAGAGTTACAGATTTCTCAGTACACTTATCTCAAAAAGAGGACAACGGCCAAGGAAAACCTAGTCAGAGCATTCAGCTGGTATGAATTAATATTGGTTCCTCTGCATATTTTTACCACTGGGAACAAATACTTGATGAATATGTATTCCTCCAAGGGGAACGGATATTCGTTCCTTCCTCCACATGAGGGTTAAGCTTTTGGTCGGGTCTTCCTTCGTAAAATACCAACTTCCCAAGAAAAATAAATAAATAAAACCACATTGGTTAGAATGATGTTAAGTAAAATTATACCAAAAGCAAAATGAGCAACTATTTCAGGGGGAACTATGGAATGTGATCTTATTTTTTTTACTGTACGGATAGAGACTTATATTCAAAGAAGCTCACTTTGTTCCAAAAAATGAAGGAGGTACAAATATTTTGAAGGGGAACCAATATTTCTGAGTTTTGGTCCCTGGCAAGAAAGAATATTGGAATATTCCAACAAACATTTCTGGAGGAATTAATATTTCTCGGGAATATTTATTCTCCGACACAGTCGCTGCAAATAGCCTGCGTTTTAATCCAGGATTCAGCTGACTGATTAAACAAGGTTCTTCTGAAGCATTGTGAGATGATGGTCCCAGCCGTGTCACCAATGACAATAAAAAGACGATCACATTTAACACAGGTATCCCTCGATTTACGAATGGTCAATTTACGAAATTTCGCGTGAACGCAATTCACAAATTATGGCCACTCATCGATTAACAAAATCGAATTTCCACGTTTGCGAAATTTCACTACGGCACGCACCATGAGATCAAACAAGAAGCACCCAGGAGGCTGCATCATCCGTCCGCGACAGCGTCACGGTATCCCTGCAGCCAAACAGAAACACTTCCACAATACCTTTCCGGCCATTCTAACACGAAAATCTTTTGGTGAGTTCCCTGAAAACGTGAATTATTTTGGTTTAAAAAATCATTATTATTGGAATGACTATTATAAACACACCCCTAATTTAGCGCATTAAATTCATGTTTTTTGAAGAACGCATCCCTTTCATAAATCGAGGGATGCCTGTATTTCCTTTTCAATTCATTTGACTAAATTACAGCCCTGGGAATTAAAATGTCAGTTTGACTCGAATGTGATGATCAATTCTCTGCAGCAAGATGTGTGAAAATGTGCAGCACCCCTAATTGTGTGGTTAAAATAGGTAATTTGAAGGGATTTCACACGTAGTTCTGTCAAGCCTCCTTCCGTAGGCTGTTCTCTAATGTAGAAGGTCGCACTGCTGTGCGAAAGTTCCAAAGGCACTTGGTTGAATTACATAACACCAAGAGCACAACCTGAATAAAACTGAGGGAAACCACCGCCAACCGCCTATCCACCAACCTCCCAAACGGCAAAAATCAAATGTGCTAACGCTTTGCTTAGCCATGAGCATCACGCACGACGAGAGCATCGCTGCGCTTGCCGACTGTGGTCGCGTGTGTTCGTGGTGGCCAGGCTCTTTGAGAACGAGGATCGTCACGGGGTGGTGCGGCTGGATTTCGTGGAGGCCGAGGCTTTCTCGCGCCTGCTCGAGTTTGCGTACACGGCCACGCTGACGGTCGATCCCGCGCGCATAACGAGCCTCCTCGAGGCGACGCACCTCCTGGAGTTTGGCCAGGTGGCCAGCGTCTGCTCGGACCTCCTGGGCGCCTCCGCAGAGCTCGGCAATGGCGCGAGCGACGTCGCGGTGCCGAGGCGGGAAGACGACGACGACGGCGAAGTCGCCGACGACGCCTCTCCTGCCGCCAGGCCCAGGGAGGAGTGGCTCACGAGCCACGCGGTAGAACGCGCGGGGGAACGCTCGCTCCGCGACGATCGTCCTCTCGACGCGCGGGCAGCGCCACCGCCGTCGACGGGGCCGCACGCACGGGAATCCGAGGCAACGGTTCAGAAGGACTGCGTCCGCGGGACCATGCTGAGCCAGCAAAGGACAAAGAAATCGAGAGGGAAAACAAAACTCGCGGCAGGCGGCGCCGACGCATCGATGGACGGTGGCGTTCGTGACAACGGCGAGGATTTGGCCTTAGACCTGAGCTCACGGCCAGAGGACAAGAAGAGGCAGGCACGCAAGCCGAAACCGGCGCTCATCCCGTCATCGCAGGATCTCCTGAGTCCGGCGATTCTGCGTCAGAAGAGTGGGGATGTGATGGATGACGCTGCTGGGGCGATCCTGGAAACCGGACTGCAGATGAGCTGGGGGTATGGGCCCGAGGGGTCCTACGATGCTCCGAGGGCCCCCAAAGTGTGTCAACCGTGCCCCATCTGTAACAAGATGATCAGGGGTGCTGGGAAGTTGCCGCGTCACATTCGCACCCATACGGGAGAGCGTCCCTACCCGTGCCATCTCTGCGGAGTGCGCTTCACCAGGTGAATGATTTATTTTAACGATATAGTACACTCCCACAGCGGTGCATCTCCGATTAGGATGATGGTTAGCTCTGTTAGATTTGAAGCTTTCGTGACTGCAAAGATTCATACTCTTAGGTTTTTTCGATAAAGTCACGTAGGTAAAAATAAATAATAAAAATAATAGAAATAATAATAGAAAAAAAATATTAGATTTATTATTTTATTTCTATTATTTGTATTTCTATTATTATTTCTTTTATTTTTATTATTTATTTTTACCTATGTGACTTTACCGAAAAAACCTATAAGTATAGCTCTGTAATGGTGCGAAAGAAGTCAGTATGCATACGTGGGTACATGCCTGTCAGTTGATGGGCAGGACGTGTGTGGTTGGTTCAAATGAAGGTACTCCCACATATTCAAAATGTTTTGGCCAGCGTGGAAGAGTAGGCCAAATACCCCTAGAGGAGTTGTTTGGAGCTCTCCCTAGTGGAGGTCCTTACGCCAGCAGTGAGGTGAGTAAGAAATTGCACGGCTGCACTTTTACCGCCCTTCGCAAAGCATTGTCTTCAGTCTGTAGGTTCGCACCACGTACACGTACGACCTTTTAGTCGATCCACTGCTGGATGAGAACCTCCCAAGGTCATGCAAGGTTGCGGGGGATTATCGGGTCCGTACTTCACCGCGCTGGTCAGTGCGGCTTGGTGAAGGCGTGGAGCGTGATCTACGTGCGCTTCCTTCTCTTGCCCTTGCTCGTAGGCCCGCAGCAGCCTACAGCAACCCTCGCTGTCTAAGGTGGTCGCGTGTTAAAGCACTATCCAAGCTCAACCCCCCCCCCCCCCCGCCTAGATTCTGGGATATGACGATATCGGGCGCATTCTGAGTAATTTGGTTCAAGGTACGCACATACGGATGGTTTGGAATAAAAAAAAAACTTGAAAAAATGCCGCTTTAAAACTAAATTAAAATATGTGGTTAATAGTTTGGGATATTCATTGTTTTGCAATGGTAGTAAAGTATGTCATGACTGAAATTATATATATGTAAATATGCTGTCTAGTAAATGTAGAAAAACTGACGTTTGTTTTCATTGTAAATATTCCTACATTATGCATGCACTGCATGCATGTATGTCTACATTCTTCCATTGTGCATATTTCGATATTTAAGAAAAGCAACAGAAGAACTGTACTCGTTAGCGCTGTTAGCATCACAGGACCGGGAGAAGTGAGAGTGAACATGGGGAGGCCTTCATGCAGCCTAGTGGGTTGACCATGCCCGATGATGATGATCATGATTATGTTTTTAATACACGTATGCAATGTATTTCTTTTAGCATAACAGACGCTTTTAGCACGACTTTTTTGCTTCTTAAATGACAACTGTATTTACATTCACGGTACATTTGGAAACATATTTCTCATTCATTTACTTCATTATTCGTTCATTTGGCTCTTTTTAAACACACTTCACAATTCCCAGCCGGTGCAAGAAGATCCTTTGTGCATCATATTTATTCTCATCATCATATTTGATGTACTTTGTTTATTTGAGCATTAACGCAACTGATCACAGCATCGCAATCACCCATGGTCAATCCACTGCTGTATTAAGGCCTCCCCAATCTGCCAAAAGCTTTGACGACCCAGCGATGCAACAATCCAGCTAGCCCGCCTGCACGCGAACTGACGTCATCGCTGCATCCCGTCGGTGGACCTCCTCTCTCGAACTTGTTCCATTCCCTGGGCTGCTACCACTCCGCTATTATTCTTGACCATCGTCCCTTCTAGCGACGTCTCTGTGCTCCCGCCTGTAGTCCCAACGTTAGTAGGCGTAGCGAGGAATTTTCACACTTAAATTCTAACTTAACAATCTTTGAAATACGTATTCCACCAGGCTATGCGTTAATTGTGTGTTGACCGACTCTCTGTGTTGCATTACATTACATTTCGATATTTTGCTAGGTTATTTAATTTAATGTGTCTATCTCCCGTTCTCCTAATTTTCAAGCTTGCGTACTTTACCACCCGTCTTCCTACCCATTGACATGCTATTTTTTTCTCTAACCCCCTCCCTCTCTCCGCCCCCGCCCCCTCTCTCTATTTAAGGCCTCGTCACAGAGATGTTCTCTCTCTCTGTGCCTATGTGTTGCTCTCTCTCTATGTATCTTGGTGATATCTGTCTGCTTTTATATCTGTCTATAGTTTTCTGGTTAGATTTTTGTTGCTATTTCATTTATACCTGATGATGATTGCTTATGTTGCAATCGAAACGTCGTATGCTATTATTTAATTTATTATTTTATCTTTATACGTGACTTTACCGAAATAATCAAAGAGTAGGCGTAGCGAGCTCAACTTTCTCCCTTTCCCCTGCCCCGAGAGCACCGCGCCTCGGGGAATTTCTGTGCCCCCTTCCATTTGTATCGCTCGCGCTCTTGTCACGCAAGACTCTGGTGAACCGTCGAGTAACGTGGACTCGTGCCTTGTTGTTTCTGCGTTTGCCAGGCAAGACAAACTCAAGCTGCACCTGCAGAAACACGAGCGGCTCGGCAGCTGTCGCGCCGGCCGCGTGAAGCCCACGCACTACGGAACTCTGTAGTCATCGTCGGCGCCGCTTCTTGGTCTTTTGTTAAAGTCACCACCGCTTTCGGTGGTTGGGTAGAAGAGGAGCCGTTTATTTACGGTCAACCGAGCGGCAGCAATGCGAATGCACTGCTGCAGATGCAATGCGACCGTGAAATGTGGGGTTTGCGACCTCTACCGCTACCTGGTGTCAAGTATTACAAATCAAACGCTGTTATAATGACCACGGCTATGAAAATGTTTGTTTCTGTATCATATGTAGATGTGATATACAGTCGTTGACTTTTGATTGCATTAATGGATTGCCTGTTTGAATATTTTTTCAAGCTCTGTACCAAAGCAGTATTTATATGTATCAGAATGCAATTATCCTGTGGAACACATAACGCATTTCTTCGTGATGCTTTTAAGGGAGTGAATAATTTATGATAGCTCTGGCTGTGAACACTGTATTTGCCTATATTGTTCTTACAAGTATTTCACTGAGCAACACAGGAATGATAACAATGACCAATAATAATACACAGCCTCACTGACTCTCAAGGCTATTTTTCAGTAGGGTCCTGCAATGCATTGGGATGTTTGGCAACGTCTACTCATGATTGTCTGGAATTATTATGTTTATAATTTAACATTGCTGGAGGGGGGGGGGGCAAATGGGCGCCACGGTGACGAGATGTTAACTACCTCGCCTGGTATGCAGGAGGTTGTGGGTTTGATCCCGACTCTGACGCCTGCTGCTGTATATTTGGAGTTTGCATGTTCTGCCCGGGGCGGTGTGGATTTTTCTCGGGGTGCCCCGGTTTTTCCCTCCACATTTAGAAACATGTGCTTCAAGTATTTGGTTGATATACATTTCCACGCGATAAGCCACTTCGTTGAGCTATCATTTGTGGCCAGGTTGCTTCTGAGTGGACCTTACCTGGTAAAATAAAATAGCAATTGTTAAAATAGTTTAAACTTAAAGTCCAGTGGAATGGCGGCTCAGTGGTCCACGCACTAAGCTGTCACTATGAATGGTGACCTCAGTTTGAGTCCTGATCTTGGCCAACATCGGTGGCGAGCTATAATGGAACGAGCTGTCTCTGTCTTCACCCCTTCTCCAACCCCACACTCGCCAGCGTTGTACATCAATGACTGTCAAGGCATTGGGGGAGCCCCTCGTCCAGCAGTGGATTGATAAATGGCTGTAAATTATATTTGTGTATATATCTAGAAAAAATAAAGTTTGTGTTCTGTTACATTCGGTAGACCTCCTTGTGCTGTCGTCAAACTCCTGTGTTACTCTCACAGAATTATCTTAAATACTTTGACAACCCCGATCGTGCAATTAATCTGTAAATCTTCGCATACGAAGCTTTTCATAGTATTCTACAGAGACTGTAACGTCGTGTTAAACAAATGCATATGAAAGGGTGACCACCGCGCGTGTCTTCTCTGGATTAAGGCACTTTCTTCTTGCCCACACCACAAACAAGCACTCCAGAAGGATCTGTCTGCTCCTCTTCTCCTCCACCAATCACCTCTCTTCATTAGCTGCCCCAAAGCGTCTTTCAACTCGTCATCCCATTTCCCCGTCTTCTTCCCAATGGAACCTCTCGGGCCATCCCACGTCCCGCTTCCCAGCAACTGCCTTACTCTACCCCGATAGTACTGGTAGGAACCTCCTGGTTACAGCAGCCCACAGGGGATTATTGTGTCCGTCCATCGTGCATCAAAAATGGGAGGGGTCGGGCTGGGTGGAGAGGGGAGGGTGGGGAGGGGAGGGGCTGGCTGGGGAGGGTGGGGCTGGGTGGGAGGAGTGGGGCTGGGTGGAGAGGGGAGAGTGGGGACGGGCTGGGTGGGGAGGGGAGGGGCTGGCTGGGGAGGGTGGGGCTGGGTGGGAGGGGTGGGGCTGGGTGGGGAGGGGCTGGCCACCCCGTGGTGCCCTTATAAAACTCAACGTTTAACCTACTCACGCCGGCTTTTGCCCGCCCTCACAGTCGGGCATATTTGCGGAATACACCACGCCGCCGTTGACCGAGCAACCCAACGTTCCTACCAGCTCCCTCCGCAGGAATTCGTTTTTTTTATTAGAAGCATCCTCCTTTGACCCTTACACATGTATCATGTTCGCACTGCATTTACAGTCACTGCGAATGACTGATGATTGGGGCATAATCGTAAGGAACGATAAAGGTTTGATATTGGTGATACAATGATACTCAAGTCCTTTGACTATGATGTAAATGTAAATACAGGATAACTTTTATCCTTGACCCTATTTCCCGCTACTCCTATTATCTCCAGGAGCTATAAGGTCAGTGCCCAATTTTTCCTATTTGTAATTATCCACATTTTTTTCCAATGGCTAAATGGAGTAAATTCGCAGATAATAGGATGCACAACTTTCGTCCCCCACATCACTGGATAAGAGGAGCGCTATTTTTAAATCTTTTATATTAAGTTCACTTGCGTGCTTGCTTGCGCGCTTACGACCGTGCAAATCTTTCGGTCGTTTTTTAACCCACTTCCCGTGATCCAATCGAGCTGACATTTTGCACACAGACTCGTTGTGCGTGACAATTTATTTTCGTGAAAATTTTTTTCCTACATTTTACACTTTTTAGGAAAAAATAAATTATATTTAATTACCAATTGCTTAATGGTGGCAGGCAATCATCTGACCCATAGGTGGCAGCCATCTCAAGCCAGAGGACGAGAGGACTCTAGCCGCCACGCATATAAAGGATTTATAGTGAAAAACTTTGTTTTTACGGGTTAATTTTTAAGTCCTGTATATCGAAATCATCTGCGATGTATATGTAAAGGAGAGCCGACACAAAGTTTCAGGGGTTTCCTCTTTTACTCCTTCAGTCCACACTCGTCCCCAGCCTTCTCAATCTCGTTCTCGCCAAGATCTCTTTTCTTCCCGCCCGTTCTCTCTCTCTCTCTTATATCTTATTTTTGGGTTTTTTCGGTAAAGTCACGTAGGTGCACCAACCTTACCATAATAATAAAAAAAACTCCTATCTAGGGGCCTGCCCTGGCTCCTCCCCCCTCAACCAGTATATATACGGGGTCGGATCTCTTGGAATTTCTCATTTACTTGATACAGCTGTCGTGGCTGTGACGGTTCCACCTGAAGACGGAGGCTTGTGTTGCCTCCGAAACGTCGTGATTTTTATTTTATTTTTACTTTTATTAAATTTAATTTTTACCTACGTGACTTTACCGAAAAAACCCAAAAATATGAATCCTTGCAGTCACGAAAGCTTCAAATCTAGAACTCTTTTATCTTCTCACTTTCTCCTCCCCCTTCCCCTGTCACCGTCTCACTCCCCCTCCTTTCGGTGGGAATCCGTCCCCTGACATCCCTTAGGTATATATATCAGCTCAAGACTCTCCTGTTAGTCGCGTGACATCTGCGTGGCCACACCCGCACCAAATCTGCCCCCTCTGCCCGCCCCCTGTGAAAACAGACGCTGCTCCATGCAGCTTCAGTTTCTGTTTGCTTCTTTCATTCCTCTCGACCCCCCTCTCGTATAATCATCCTCTCATCCCCGACGTGTACCTCATATCCTCGGCTCTGTGCCCTTCGCCGTGGTGTGCCACCAGTGAACAGTTTTATTACAATAAATTGAAATGGGGTGGAAGATTCCTACAGTTGAGATAGGGGAGAAGAGAGTGAGAGTTTAAAATAAATAAACAATGACTCCGAGGTTATTCACGCTCTCCGTCAGCGTAATGTCAGAGTTTGTGTGGTACACCATCGTTACTGGGTGTGGACTATTTGTTTTCCCCGAAGAGGATGATTTCATTTTTGGAAACGATTCGCTTGGAGACCGACAGAATGAATCCAAGATGAGAACCACGTGTCGACGAGGCAGGAGGCGGGGAGGAGACGTACAAGAACGCCGTCCCGTCGTCGAGCGAGCGCGTTCGGTGTAATATTGCGTAGAAGTATTGCAATCGTGAAGTAGTATTGCATATCGCTAGAGGGGGTATTTACAAATGTTGGGAGCAGACCTGAATTTTTGGTTTGTTTTTGCCCACGCCACTGATGACGGCACGCTGCCCCGACTAGAGGAAGCTGCAGAGAGCAGCAACTTGACCAGGGTCATTTGGCCTACTCTTCCACGTTGGCCGCACGTGTTTGGACGACCCTGCCTGCCGATCGACTTAACAGCGGTGAACCAAGTGTTACAGTGAGTGCACTTGCGGACAGATAGACAAGGAGCGGAATGTCAGGAACGTGGACCGCTGTTAAGGGGCCGTCCATAAATGACGTCACGCACCTAGGGGCAGGGGGGGTCAGACATTTGTGACGATGTGTGACGAGGGGGGGGGGGTGAGAAATGTGACGTCACATCAAAATGCGCAACTTTAAATAAATATAGACAACACGTTCTACTTAATTAAATAGACTTTTTAATAAATGTTTTCTCCTACAACATCAGAGTGCAGCGCCACATTAAATACGCACTACAATGACAATAGTTTAAAGTGATTTGAAGCATGTTTTATTTTCGAAATGGAAATATGGTTTTGGGGGGGGGGGGGGCAGAGCTTTGTGACGTCATATTTAAGGGGGGGGGGTCTGACTTTTTGTGACGCCGTGTGACGAGGAGGGGGGGTCAAAAATCTTCCAAAAATGCGTGACGTCATTTATGGACGGCCCCTATCGCAATTAAAGATAAATCTACTGTCTACAACGTGCTGAATGCAAAAGTGAGTGATGACAAACCTCACATTTTGGAGACAGGCCAAGTTAATTTCCGTCTGGTGCAATGTCAAATGCATGCAACGTGTTCATAGAAAGCAGAATATTTCAACAGAGGTCCGTGCGATAAAGACCAGTGTGTGTGTGTGTGTAAGGCTATAAATATGCTTTGGCGTTAGATGTGAGATATGTAAAATACGGCTCGCGAGCAAGCTGCGTGAACTGTATTGAGCACTTTGTGGCTAAAGCCACAAGCAGAGGGCGCTATCTTGTGACTTACTGCTGCGTTGCGTTGGGCCTTCCAAATGTTGTCTCGTTAGATAATCTTCCCTTGGGCTTGACTCATTAGCCACAGTCACGTAGGCAGGCCTGGCGGTGGTGGGGGGAGATGGGAGAACAACTACCAGAGCCACAAATGCACAAGATGTTGTTTGTTGTACATTTGCATAAAATGTGAGTAAACATAGCGTCGATCCAGTATTGGTAATATCCTGAAATTCCGACTTAAAGCTTTCGTGACTGCAGGGATTCATCTTCTTGGTTCTTTCGGTAAAGTCACGTAGAAGGGAGATAATAAAATAATAAAAATAAAACATAATAACATACAATGTCTTTCCGACAGACCTGTTCTTCACCGGAGGACGGCTGCTTGCGTTGTGGCCAAAACGTCGTGAGAATTGTATTTTATTATGTTTTATGTTTATTATTTTATTATCTCCCTTCTACGTGACTTTACCGAAAGAACCAAGAAGATGAATCCTGAAATTCGTTGTAAAATGTGAAATTTTACTGATAAAAAAAAACAGATTTATTTAAAATCACGGTTGATGACAACAGGCACCCAAAGGCCCAAAGAAACGCGAAGCGGACAGCAACAAACAGCACTAACTGTCGGTGCAATAGATACGAGTCGGTGCGTTTCTTGAATTAAGATAGGTTATTATTAGACTAAACTTGAGGAAGGGCGATGCGGAGAGAATTACAAAGTGGAGCAGTGCGAGGGAGTGACAGGGAATCGTTTGACCTGCAGTGCGGTGGGTGAACAAAATGTTTACGAGCTTTTAATGCAAGCGAAGTGTGATGCTTTCCCGGCTACACAAGTGTAAATACAAACAAAAGTGAGCAAATATCAAATTTGCGTGATAAAGAGTGAATACTACACTGATGAGTACACGCTAAACACGATACATGGCGGAATGCATAGCTGCTTAACACACAACTTACTGGGCTCAGTACAGTGTTACTGGTAGGAACCTCCTGGTTACACCAGCCCAAAGGGGAATATTGTGTCCGTCGTGCAGGGAGGGGCTGGGTGGGGAGAGAGGGGCTGGGTGGGGAGGGGCTGGGTGGGGAGGGTGAGGAGGGGCTGGGTGGGGAGGGTGGGGAGGGGCTGGGTGGGGAGGGTGGGGAGGGGCTGGGTGGGGAGGGGCTGGGTGGGGGGTGGGAGGTGTGGGGCTGGGTGGGGAGGGTGGGGCTGGGTCGGGGGTGGGAGGGGTGGGGCTGGGTGGGGAGGGGCTGGTCACCCCGTGGTGCCCTTATAAAACTCAACGTTTAACCTACTCACGCCGGCTTGTGCCCGCC